AGGTTTTTCGCAGATAGCCGAACAACGGCGGCGTGCAGCGCCACCAAATTTTGCATACCTGTTTTTCCATCTATTGCGCATACTGTGTGCGAATTTTGACCTTATATGACTTAAGGTCAGGTCAACAGGTCGGTTTGAGTGACCTACCGTCACAAAAAGTTTGAACTTGCACCAAAGCTACAACTGTTGACCGATCGATATGAAACTTTCAGGAGTTAGTAAGGGTGACAATATCCACAAAATGTATGTCTCGGATTTTTTTATCTATGACCTGAGGTCAGGTCAATCTCACAACCTCCCCATTATAAGTCAATGGGATAAATTTCAACTTCATCTGAATGCCACCCGATCCACACAATATATTCAGGATCATGGTGTTGCAGGTCCCTGGTCCCGGCATCTCAAACCTAGAGCGACTACACTCAAGTTCAAGCTAACGGTCTCCACTCTCCAATTCAGATACCTATCGAAACCTTTCCGCGACCCGGTGCTGTGGCTCAATCAGTGGGCCAGCTGGCCGCAGACCATACCCGCAGGGCATGAACCTTTGACCATATTAGGTCAACACGCCGTGGCCCCAGCCCGCTCGCCAGGTCCGCGCTCATTGGCCGACGCGGCAACCGCACAACCTGTCCCCTCCCCTCCGTAGTACTCGCAGCGGCCGGCGGATTCAGCCAAGTTACCGACCTGCCCAGCGAGGGGAGGGCCGGCCGGAAAAGATACATATTTGACCGACTATACCTTATGGGGCAAACCTTGCGCATCTTTTGATAAAAAAAATTTGACCGGGTCATGTCAGGTCACGGAGTTATGACGTCACAAAGGGAACAGCCTCCGGCCGGATTTTCACAAACTGAGTGCCAACGCCCGAGGTTTCCTGCCGGTGGTACGAACATCGGTTGATGGATCGTGATGAAACTTCCCATGCATATTGGGGCAAGTATTGGCTATCATATGGTATAAGAAACTTGACCGGGTCAGGTCAGGTCACGGAGCTATGACGTCACAAGAGGAACAGCGTCCGGTACTATTTTTGAAAAGCGCCCGAACCACTATTTTGCTAATTCTTGTCACCTCAATGGGAATATGCAGCAATATTAGCTTCTATAGGGAGCAAATGGACCTCCCAAATCCAAAAATACAATCAGATTTCAAAAATTTAAATTTTGATTTTTCGAATTTCTGCCGCCGACTGTGACCTTGCCGACTTCCGGCGCTCCCAACGCGCCATTTTTAGAGATAGGGAAACGAAATACACACCAAACGATAGTGAATTGATCAAGGAACACGATAGTGAAGGTTTCAAGTCGATATCTTCCACCGTTTTGCCGCAATCGCCGCGGAAAGTTGAAAAAAAGTATATTTTTCCGAAAATTTGACCTTTGACCGGTCAAAAGTAGGTCAAATGTTGACCTAGGACCAAAAAATATACCACCAATCGCGAGATCTCGGCGAGAGCAATCCGATGGTCTTTTCCGCTAAGCTCTACGACGCTCCGTTTTCAAACGCCAAGGGGGGGTCGCACCAACCCCCCCCCCCTGCATGGGCGAAGGTGGCAGATCGCCGTTTACGGGCGAGGGTTAAGGTGGGAGGGTCCCTTTAAGAATTTTGTAGATGCACTGCCGGGAGAGTCTCTGGTCGACACGATCTCACAGGCCCCCACTTCCATTGTAAGCGGCTCGTGGTATAATGGTGAGCGTTCGATAGAGCTCTGCTCGTCTGACCTGACCCGAATATACCCTGGGTCTGACCGTGGTGTCGCCTCCGCCCTGCAGCGACACCTATACCTCACCAGCTGGCGCCGACAGCGGCACCTGTTGTTAGCCACGAGCTAACAGGGTAACAGGGTAACCGGATAAAAGATCGTAAAGCAGAAGATCGTATGGCAGAAGCTCGTAGGAAGTTGATCGTATGCAAAAGGTCGTAATGGATAAAGATCGTACGGCATAATGCCCGTATGGACAAAAGATCGTATTCGCTAAAGATCGTCAAGGAAAATGATCGTATGCCAAAAAGTCGTAATGGATAAAGATCGTATGAACATAATGTTCGTATGGACAAAAGATCGTATTCGCAAAAAATCGTCAAGGAAAATAATCGTATGCCAAAGATCGTATGGGATAAAGATCGTACAGTATAATTTTCGTATGGACGAAAGATCGTATTCGCAAAAGATCGTCGAGGTAAATGATCGTACGCCAAATGATCGTATGAGATAAAGATCGTACAGCCAAAATATGGTATTCACATGGTGCAGCCAAACTGCAGCGCATATAAAGCTTATTAATTTCTACGTTCGCGTAGTTAGTGGCGTCGTAAGCTCGACCATTGATGTTGTTTCAGAGCTTAGATGGCTAATAGCTGATGCTTAAATATCCGTATTGACAGAAAGGACTCAGCTGTCCTGTTCCTTTCTTTGAAGCTCTAGCACATGAGTGTGGATGTGTATATCATTTTTGCATCCCTAATAATGCTTCTGCACCCCCAAAGGGGCACCCCAAAGCCCCCAGGTGCACACGCACTCATGTAAGGGGCGGATCCAGGAAAACTTCGAGGGAGGGTCATGAATCGAAATGGTGCCCCTACCTATTCCCAAAATAAAAAATAGACTCAACGAATCTCGAATTTTGGTTTCGACCACTTCATTTAGGTGTTGCCCTATTTCAGTTTTTTTTTTGCACATGGGTCCTGGCAGGCCTGTAGTGTTCCTGACAAGCTCTAAGTGCCAACGAGAGGCTGGTGGTGTCCCTGACAGACCCATTGTGCCCTTGCGAGGCCAGTGGTGCCTCTGGTAGACCTGGGGCCGTATTCACGTCAACTTCGTAAGTCGATTTTCTTTTGTAAGTATAATTTGGTATTCACGTCAACACTTTTTAAGTTTTTATCGACGGAGTTCACGTGAATAAAAAAAAAATACGTAAGACGAAGAAAATTCTTATGAAAATGATCGACGTGAATACGGCCCCTGTGGTGTCCCTCGCAATTCCACTTGCGGCGCCCGGTAGGGGAGGGGGTGGGGGCTGGAAAGCAAAAGCTTGCGGCACCACCTTTTACTCCTAAAATGTTGTCGATATTCCGCAACCGCGATTGCATAATGCAAATCTTGAAACAAACTCTACAGGATTGTTCTTGATTTATCAATGCCTTCGATGTATTATGAAAAGTCCCCTAAAAATGGTAGGTACGATATTATTGGTAACAAGTGAAACGTGAGGGCCTTCTTTGGCATAGGGGGCACACCCAGCCGTGAGGGGCATCGAAGCCCATGGTAGTCACACTCATAATTGTGAATTTCTGCATACAATTGTGGACATGAACATTTTCGAAGTTGGTGGATAACACGACGTCATAAATATTCGTAGTTTTATATCTCATATTTTTTATATAAGGTAATCTAAGCATGGGTGAATTTGTATGTCATTGGGGGTGCTTCAGCACCCCAAATGCTGGATTGAGCACCCGCCCAATAAGACTTGAGCACCCCAAGAGGGCCACCCCACAGGTCACAGCAGCACACGCACGTGACGGTTTTTCGTAGAATATCGTGCGGCTAACGGGTTTTTTGCTACAATCATTTACCTCCAACACTATTCTATACGATTAGTTACTTTACGAACTTAACGTTACGATCTTTTGTCGTACAATCTTTTACAACATACGATCTTTTTCTTACGATCTTTTTCATACGATACATTACTTTACGATCTTTTGCTTACGATCTTAGGTCGTACGATCTTTTGCGACATACGATATTTATCTTACGATCATTTTCCAACGATCTTTTTCATACGATCCTTTGCTTTACGATCCTTTGCTTACGATATTTAGTTGTACGATTTTTTTGCGACATACGATCTTCATCTTACGATCATTTTCCTACGATCTTTTTCATACGATCAATTGCTTTACGATCTTTTGCTTACGATTTTTTTCGTACGATCTTTTACAACATACGATCTTTATCTTACGATCATTTTCCTACGATCTTCCATACGATCTTTTGTCTTACGATCTTTTGTCACGTAATCGCTGTGCGCAGTGTGGGTAGGCTGTCCCGCTGTGCGCCGGCTGTCCCGCCAGCCAGCTGTGCTCTGCGGCACAGCATGCCCGCGCTGCATTCCGTCGTTCACTGAGTCGGAAATATTACAAAAGACAAAATTAAAAAAAAAAACACAGACGCTTCATGATAGCTGATCAGCCAAGATTCTCAGAGGCTTGACAGTGGGGGGGGGGGGGGCGCAGTCACGTGACCCTCTTCCCGACCCTGCTCACCATTTTCAGTAGCCTTAATTAATTTTTTAAACATTTGGTAATAGGATGGTTTAAATTGATCCCTACAAAGCTTTATTTACTACCATCAGCTAAGACCGTAAGCTATATCGTAAGCAAAACTTACCGTATAGCTAAGAAACAAGTTTCTGCTTGCAATATCAAACATAAGCTAAATTTAATCGTTTTTCATCATTACTATATCAGCTGACAACATTCACCTGACCTCGTCAATGTCGGCGATCTTGGCGCACTCAATAGTGTTCGAAATTTCGCAACGCTTACTTGTTGCTACGAGACTAAATACTACACACGTTATTCAACAAGTGCTTGCGAGGTTCCTGCCCAACCTTTTGAACACAATATTTGTGTGCTAGTTAATGCAACGCGTCATAGCTGCAACATATTTTGTGAGGCTCCCAACCGCTCAACTCATCGCCTTCAAAAGAAGTGTTCTGTGTCATAATATTCATTTTTTAACCTAATGTTGGCTTAATTCATCTTATTTCGCGTGGGGATAGTCAAAATAGCGAGATCAGCAGCTGAAAGGAAGGAATGATGATCGCGAGAGGGTCTTGTAAAAAGTCGCAGCGATTGCATTGAGCATTAAGTGAAGACACAATTCGACATCCAACCACCTCAGGCGATATACACGTATGTCCCGTCCCCCACCTGGATCAACCAAGATTCTTACAGATACTGATCAACAAGGTCCAAGGAAATTGACAGTGTTCAAATCATACTTTTTTACTATTACTTCACACTCCGGGAGAAACAAAAACACGCATCACATCTGCATTTCATCATTGCTCAGTTGGTGGAGCCTTTTCTTGAAAGTTTGTGGGGCAAAATGTCGTCAAACCTACAAGTACAATGCCCATTGTTAAGTTGGATTAAATGCTACACTGAATCAGTTCCTATCATTATGGAGATAATCTTTTCCATTACGCAAACATTTCAAAGCTCCTCAATGCGAAAAATGATTTGCTGGGGCAGCCGCCCCACCCCTCGGTAGGAAGCTCCGACCCTGGTATTCACTCTTCAAATTGCATTGAAAAGGCAACATTTTCGTTTTGTCTTTCTCCTGTCGAACATGTCTCCCCCATCACCGGCAGTCCGCTCTACTTCTGCACGTGGTCCATGAACCAGGCGACACTGTCAGGGCTCTTCAGCACGCGATGTCACCCATCACCGCGGCAGTCCGCTCTACTTCTGCACGTGGTCCATGAACCAGGCGACACTGTCCGGGCTCTTCAGCACGCGATGTCACCCATCACCGCGGCAGTCCGCTCTACTTCTGCACGTGGTCCATGAACCAGGCGACACTGTCCGGGCTCTTCAGGCGATACTGTCCGCTCTACTTCTGCACGTGGTCCATGAACCAGGCGACACTGTCCGGGCTCTTCAGCACGCGATGTCACCCATCACCGCGGCAGTCCGCTCTACTTCTGCACGTGGTCCATGAACCAGGCGACACTGTCCGGGCTCTTCAGCACGCGCGGCATCTTGAACTGGTTGGCGGCCACGGCCGTGGTCTCAATGAGGTGCGAGCGGAACCGGGCAAAGGTGCCCGGCGCCACCTGGTGCACGGTCATCTTGGAGAGCTTCTTCAGCGTCCGGTAGCTGGCGTACTCCTCCGACTGGTCGCGCAGTGTCTCGTCCACCTGCCGACGGACACGCAGTCACAAACTCGGTGCAAACCAAATCAGGGGGGGGGGTGACTAATCATTACATAAAGTAGGCCAAAATAGAGACTTAAATAAATAGCGACAGGCATTTCACGACCAGCTTTATGATAATCTTGTCATCGGACATGCTTTGGCCAGGTAGTCATTTTTGGACAATAGCTGTCCATTTTCCCAATATCCTGGGAGTTATCAAGCACCTCCACTGTGCCTCTGCAGCCTGATCTGGTGAGGCACAGACCGGCCTCTGCCTCACCGGATCGGTCTTTGTCTTAGCTGGTGTGGGAACACAGTCACTGCGTCTCAGTCGGCCTGTGTCTCACTCAGTCTATGTCTCAGTTGTGTCACACGCAATCAGTGTCTCACTCAGTCCGTGTCTCAGTCAGTCTGTGTCTCATTCACCGGCATGCACCTCAGTCAGCCTGTGTCTCAGTCGGTCCTTGCCTCACTGTGTGTCTCAATTTGTGTGTCAGTTTGTGTGTCGGTCTGTGCCATAGTTGATGTGTCCCGGTCTGTATCTCAGTTGGCATGTGTCTCAGTCGTCTGTATTTCAGTTGATGTGTCTCCAGGTTGGTCTGTGTCTCGCGATCAGTCTGTGTCTCCAGTCGGTCTGTGTTTCAATCGATCTGTGTCTCAGTGTCTGTGTGTCTCGATCAGTCTGTGTCTCAGTCGGTCTGTGTTTCAATCGATCTGTGTCTCAGTGTCTGTGTGTATCAGTCAGTCTGTGCCTCAGTCGCCCTGTGTCTCAGTCGCTCTGTGTCTCAGTCGCTCTGTGTCTCCGTAGGCCTGTATCTCAGTTGGTGTGTCTACACTCTATGCAGGCTGGTCCGTGTCTCGCTCAGACTGTGTCTCAGCCGCTCTGTGTATCAGTCAGTCTGTGTCTCAGTCTGTCTGTGTCTCAGTCGGTCAGTGTCTCAGTCGCTTTGTGTCTCAGTCGGGCTGTGTCCCATTCCCGACTCACCAGGTCGGTCTGTGTCTCAGTCTGTCTCAGTCTGTATGTATATGTCTCAGTCGGACTGTGTCCCATTCCCGACTCACCAGGTCGGTCTGTGTCTCAGTCTGTCTCAGGCTGTCCGTGTCTCAGTCGGACTGTGTCCCAGTCCCAACTCACCAGGTCGGTCTGTGTCTCGGTCTGTCTCAGTCTGTATGTGTCTCAGTCGGACTGTGTCCCATTTCCAACTCACCAGCTCGGTCTGTGTCTCAGTCTGTCTCAGTCTGTATATGTCTCAGTCGGCCTGTGTCCCAGTCCCGACTCACCAGGTCGGTCTGTGTCTCAGTCTGTCTCAGTCTGTATGTATATGTCTCAGTCGGACTGTGTCCCATTCCCGACTCACCAGGTCGGTCTGTGTCTCAGTCTGTCTCAGGCTGTCCGTGTCTCAGTCGGACTGTGTCCCATTCCCGACTCACCAGGTCGGTCTGTGTCTCAGTCTGTCTCAGTCTGTATATGTCTCAGTCGGACTGTGTCCCAGTCCCGACTCACCAGGTCTGTCTGTGTCTCTGTCTGTGTCTCAGTCGGCCTGTGTCCCAGTCCCGACTCACCAGGTCGGTCTGTGTCTCAGTCTGTCTCAGTCGGACTGTGTCCCAGTCCCGACTCACCAGGTCGGTCTGTGTCTCAGTCTGTGTCTCAGTCGGACTGTGTCCCAGTCCCGACTCACCAGGTCTGTCTGTGTCTCTGTCTGTGTCTCAGTCGGACTGTGTCCCAGTCCCGACTCACCAGGTCTGTCTGTGTCTCTGTCTGTGTCTCAGTCGGACTGTGTCCCAGTCCCGACTCACCAGGTCGGTCTGTGTCTCAGTCTGTCTGTGTCTCAGTTGGGCTGTGTCCCAGTCCTGACTCACCAGGTCGGTCTGTGTCTCAGTCTGTCTCAGTCTGTATGTATATGTCTCAGTCGGACTGTGTCCCATTTCCAACTCACCAGGTCGGTCTGAGCCTCGGTCAGCGGCTCGCCCTCCAGCTCGATGAAGAGGATATAGCAGAGGCTGAGGTCGCCCTCGCGGCGCAGTGCGAACTGGCTGACGGCCGCCGTGTAGTCCTTCAGCTGGGAGGGCCACTGCCGCGCGGCGTCGCGCAGCGCGCGGAACAACACCTCCTCAGAGGTCTTCTCGCCGCAGACGTTCAGCGACTGGCCCGACCTGGGGAACCCGAGGACAGGTCAGGGGCCGCAGACGTTCAGCGACTAGCTCGACCTGGGGAACCCGAGGACAGGTCAGGGGCCGCAGACGTTCAGCGACTGGCCCGACCTGAGGAACCCGAGAACAGGTCACGGGCCGCAGACGTTCAGAGACTGGACCGACCTGAGGAACCCGAGGACAGGCCATGCGCAGCTGCATAAATCGGTGAAACGGCGACAGGCAAAGTAGGGGAGAGTGGGGTAAGATGCCCAGGGTGGGAAAGACGCCCCACCCCCTCTAGCGGGGAAACAAAGAATCGAACCTGAAAATTAATGTTCTTAGCGTAAAGCGGAAGCCTGCCTTGTTAACTGCACAAAAATTTGCGAAGCTCAGTTGGGCAACGGCTGGCTGGTGATTGCATGTTTTTTATTTGCTGCTTTCAAAAAATATTTTGGCGTCAAAACATTGTAAATATCAAAGAAGGTAGATAATTTTTGCGTCCCTTGCTATAGTCGTCGTAGTAAAGTAATCTTGATAGTCGTGATGCATTAACATGCGTGTACTGTGTCCCAAACAGTTTGTTTCAGGGTGTAGTTTTATGGCTAACAAATTGTGCTGATTTAATGTTACTTCGGTACCTTGGGGTAAGATGCCCCCTGTCCTGATGGGGAAAGACGCCCCCCTAAATCCGCAGGCTGTTCTTCAAGCAGCCCGTCAAATCATTTATTACACACTTGTGATGAGAGACAAAAGCCGATCTGGGACTATTGAGAATCAGGTACGGTCGGGTGCTCCCCATGCCGGTCTCTCGGCCCACACAGCGACTTTTTGGGCGGCATCTGACTCTGAGAGCCCTCACGACGGCCTCTGTGGGCCCCATTATTGGTTCCAGGGCCCCTCACGACATCCTTTGAGGGTTCCCACGTTGGCTCCACGGGCCGCGCTGGCATCTGAGGTCCCCACGATGGGCTCGAGGGCCCTCAAGCATCATGAAGACCTATAAGGGCCCCACAGTGGTCTCCGAACGCCACCACGGAGGCTTGTTTGGCCACGCTGGACTATGATGGCCCTAACGATGACTTCTGAAGCCCCTTACGACTACTTTTGAGGGCCCTTACGATGACGTTTGGTGTCTACTGCAGGCACGAAGGGACTTCTGATTCGTTCAGGCGATTCACCTGCCTATTTATGTCACTTATAGTGCAGGGGGCATCTTACCCAACACCAGGGGGCGTCTTTCCCACCCTGTAGGGTAAGATGCCCCCTTTCACTTCTTCAGGAAAATGCTTAATAGCAAAAAAAGTTATCATATTTCAGGCACGAAAGTGTGATATTTTTGGAGAAAAATGATGTTGGCTTCCGTTGAAACTCCAAGTTTTGGCTTTCCGATCGTCATTTTCGAATAATATATGACATAGTCAAACCCTGGGCATCTTTCCACACTCTCCCCTAGAGGACATAAAGCATAGTCTGTTGCTACAGGAGATCAATTGATAGAGCGGTATAAAATGGTAGAATGGTACCAAAAACCCGGGGTGCGCCAGGAACGATCTACGAGCAATCAAGCGATGTGTGGCTACTGGCTGCAAATACAAAGACCTGAATAAACTGCATAGACATTTTATACAAAACAATCCAAAATATGCTTTATCCTATTAAAATGTTTCGACACATTAGCTCACGTGTTGTGCTAAAGATATTTGCATCCGGTCAGCATCCGGTGAAAAAAAACATTCTATAAAAGCATATCACGCAAGGGTGGCCCGTCTATAGCAGAGCTCGGCTTACGCCTGTATCTTTGTATCACGAAGGAGTGACCCATATGCAAGGGAGCGCAGACTGCGCCTGTATCTATGTATTGCAGCAGCAGTGACGCACCTATAGAGGAGCTCGGTCTGCGCCTATATCTGTACTACGGCGGAAGTAACCCACCTGTAGAGGAACTCGATCTGCGGCGCCTGCTGGTAGAAGCCCACCACCTTGATGACGTCTCCAACGCGGTACCGGTAGAAGCCCGACGAGTTGGTGATGATGATCTCGTACTCTTTGCCGACCTCCAGCTCGTGGCCGAGCAGCAGATCCCGGCGGTCGATTTCCCCGAGCTCCGGGATCCGGTCGTGGACGATGGGCAGGAACTCGTAGAACATGATGTCGGGGATGAGCGTGTAGCGCGGCGGCCCGGTCCAGCTGTCGATGTTGGAGCCCATGTAGCCCTCCGAGGCGCTGTACGTGAAGCTGAGCATGGGGATGTCGGGTCCAAGCAGGTAGCGCGCCTCGCGGTAGTACGTCTCGTTGGTGCTGCCCGACCAGATGCCGCTGGTGCGATCCATCTGCGGCCAGAGGCGCGGCACGATACCGGCCATGCCCTTGGCGAACTCGCGCTCGACCTCGTCGGCCCGCTGCGGCGTCGGCCTCAGGTGACGGTTCAGCTCCTCCCTCACGTCGGGCGGTATGTTCAGGTCCTCCTTGATGCGGCCGCGGCGCATGTCGCGCAGTAGGTCCGGCAGGTTCTGCTGGATGCGGCGCATCAACGTCAGGAAGTTGAACACGAACACTGTGCGCAGCACGCTGATGTGCTTGTCGCAGAGGCCGAAAAGTGCGTGGATGTAGTGAGATTCGAACTCGCTCTTCACCTGCTGGCCGACGAGTGGCGTGGTGAACAGCTCCGCCGTCAGCGTGTTCATGCGCGCGTAAACGACGTGCGCGGCGGCGCTGACGGTGTAGCCGCCCTTGGTCTTCTCCAGCACACGGCCGTTGTTCACGTTGAGAATGCGCCTCAGATTCCAGGGGAAATGGCGGCGAACGACCCACTGCAGCGGGCCAAACAGCACCTGGTTCTGCATGTCCCTAGCGGCCTGCTGAGACATCGGGATCCGCTTGTTTCTGCCGGTAGTTCCTGAGGATGTGATGAAGATGAAGACGTCATCCTTGTCGCCAAGGAGGGCTGATTTCTCTCCGTCGGCCAGCCGGTTGACGTAGTCCTCCATTTGCGGGAAGTCAAACAACGGCATACTCCGTCGGAAGTCTGACACGCTGCGGATGGAGGAAAAATCGTTGTCTCTTCCGAAGCCTGTATTTTCTGAGCGGCGGATCCGGTCCATCAGAAAAATTGATTGCGCCTGAAAATAGGCCCATAATGTTATATTCTTAGCTTGGAAAATAAACCCCAGAATGTCTTATTGATCCTATTCTTTTTCTTATAAATTTAGTCCGAACCTCTTGATTGGAGGGATTCACAAGGACAGAGCCGCCGCTAAGCGAAGCGTATTGCGTTGACCCTGCCCTCTACCCTCCGATCGCGCAATTCCGGTTCTGTGGCAGAATTTAGAGTCCAAAGTTTAAGGTGCGCACATAGCCGCGCACGGCCGGTCACCTCACTAACTTCGCCTGGCTACGGCCTGCCACCAACCGCAACCATCCCTCTCAGGAGGCCCATAAATGTGAAGCGCCCATCGCGCTTCGAACCCGCACTGTTGTAACCGGGAACGCGTGCTCTCACCACGCGGAGTCCAAAGCTCTACCGACTGAGCTACAGGACCGGCTATTGTGTAACGCTCTACCGACTATTGTGTAACATCAAATCACGAGAGTCGCTGGTTAACTTCAATTAAAATGCCCCGAAGACAATTGTCATGTTAAAGTCACAGTTTTCATGTCACTAGCAAAACCCTTGACAAAAACGTCCGAGATGTGATTTAACCCTCGCCCGTATTGGTGTTTTTCCAGCTCCGTGAACGTATGGGGGAGGGTCTGCTGCCCATTTGCCGTTTCGCCCCTGATCAAGCTAGAGCTTCGCAGAAAAAATCGAGCGTGTTGCCCGTGACGAGAGGAAGCCGATGATACCCAATTTTAACCCGGCGGCCGCTGGGCCTCCGCGCCACCCGCCGGCCGCTGGGGGGGCACATAGTTGCCCCCCCCTTACGTCTGCGACGATATCGTCACAACGCGAAGAGATAGAGAAGCGAAACTTTGTACACATCTTCCTGAATACCTAGCCGAGGTTGTGTCCAAATTTGGTGTCGATCCCACTTGAAATGACGTCACAGTGACGTCATAAGTGAAATTATAGATTGGCCGATACATCAGATATATGGGACCGAATATAAACGGTCGATTATTGGTCAGAAACTAGATGGAAGTGTAGTTAGATGTTTTAGAATGACAGCAGGTGCTGTCTAGTTCATTTACAGTTGAGTTTCATGCTCAGCGTCATCAGAAACGGTCCATATCGGAAAACGACAAAACTTTATGACGTCACTGTGACGTCATCTTAGGTGCTACAACCACCAAACTTTCCTCAAACATTGCCTAGGTATTCATTTGAAGCTATGCCAAGTTTCACGTTCGTAGCTCATCAGCTTTCGGAGATATTTCACAAAATGTAAAGGGGGGCAACTTTATGCCCCCCCCCCCCAGCGGCTCGTGGGATAAGGTCTTACGCCATCGGTTGACACTTGACATTCTAGGTCAGGTCAATGACTCAAAAGCTGGGAAAATCGGGACCTGTTAGAACGTTGTTAAGTGTGGCTGCTATAAGGGTTTTCAGGATGCTGATCACGAATATCATGTTAGATTTAATTACAGACGATATCTTGATGCATTTAGGCCAGGTCGGGTCAGGTCAGGTCAGGTTATCCAGTAGGGGTCCTGCCGAGTATTCGTAGTAGGTGTCAACCGCCTCTGACAGCTTCGTAATATGTTACGAAGGCACCAAAACTACTTCGTAATTGTTCATATGGTTGCTAAATTCGAATTCAGCTCCAAAAACTAGCCTAGAAACATATAAAACTGGAAAAAGCGACCCGAGGTCATCAAAGGTCAATGACCTGACCTGAACTTCAAGTGATCTTGACACCCACCGATGCATGGGAACAAAATCATATCACCTGTTTGAACGTTTGAAACCACGAAAAGACTTGCAAACGCGCGGCTAATCCGAGCCGACAAACATGGTCTTTAAAAGTTGGTCACAGGTCAGAGGTCATTTGCGTCAGGGTCATGAAATTTTACGGGTATGTGTAAAATTGATTAACGCGAGGGTACTGAAAGCTTCATCACGATCAGCCGCTTTTACGCGAGCTATTCGCGAAAAACCGAGGGGGGGTTCCGTTCGGCACCCCCCCCCCCCGTTCGGGCGAGGGTTGAGAGCTCAGTTGTGACATAAGCCGAAAAGTTATTCCACGCTTTACAGACATGCAATAAGATTCATAAATATGCTACGGTTAGGCAAAAGCAATACTTTCTTACCTGCTCAAAGCTTCGGACATCCCTTTCGAACTTCTTGTGCATGCGGTACATTTTGATGCTGCTCAGCTGGGTGAGAACATAGAGTTTCAGGAGGTCCGGCCAACTGATGTCTCTGGAGTAGCCGCGTCGCTTCAGGTCCACGAGGGCCAGCAGGAGTAGCACGGCTACTCCTGGAAATAGAACGGGCCAACCATGTCACCAAATTCAACTGCTTTCTACGATTTCTACGACATTTTGAAGTCGACTTGCCAGATTCGAACCATGCCGTAGGGCGTAGACTACTGTATCACTGGACTGCATGAAAAAGCCGGTCTTGCATAATAGCCCTAAAACTGTAGTAATAAATGGACAAGTATTGCATCGAGCGTACATGAACCTCCAGGCTCGACGAATCAAACAATTAAAACAGTTACATTAAAGGCGTACCGGTTTCGTCTATTAGACTTCTTCAGCGCCGTTGTATGAAACAAGGAACAAGAAAACGAGCACATCAATCGTTTGAAATAAATAGCACGTATTTCTGAGAACAAGGTCAGAGTAGTCGGGTACCTCCTAATTAAAACGAAATCATACATATTTTCGTGAACATGTAACAATCTATTCGGAACATATTACAATAGCTAAATAGTATTAAATCAATTGACGGTGCATATAATATGTTTCTCTCTCACTCTCTCTCTCTCTCTCTCTCTCTCTCTCTCTCTCTCTCTCTCTCTCTCTCTCTCTCTCTCTCTCTCTCTCTCTCTCTCTCTCTCTCTCTCTCTCTCTCTCTCTCTCATTTTTAATTTTTATCTAGATCAATGATGCTCAATTGTGCTGCAGATTTCGCCCATTTTATAAACCCACCGTTCGTGTTGATCGTTTCGTTAGTTGCGATGTACGCTGCTTCGGTTGCTTTTCTAATCGCTTTTGAAGAGCATGAAGCTATAATTTCTGTCCCCTCCCAGTTCGGTAAATGTCCCGTTTTGTTCGCATGAGCCACAAAAGCGCTATGTTCCATAAAGTTACGAAAATCTCGTTTGTGCTCTTTCAGTCTAGTTTTTGCTCCCCTGCCTGTTTCTCCTATGTATGCCTTTTCACAAATCCCGCACGGTACCCTATATACTACACTCTTATCTGACTTGTCTTTCTTTTCTTTCTTTCGTATCATCTCACCTATTTTTCGACCAGATGTCACAGCTGTGCGCGCGCCCGTCGTCTCGATTCGCTTGGCTACTACGTTCGCTAGCTTCGAATTCGGTATGGTAATGTAACGTTCGTTTTTCTTTCGCTGTCGTTCGGTCTCTGCTCTATTTCGGATCTCCATTGCCTTCCTTTTCAGATTTAAAAGAAGGCCCTTAGGGAACTTCAGTCTAATAAAAGAATCTAAGACATGTTGGATTTCCTGCTCCAGATACTCTTCGCTACATATGCGATAGGCCCTAAGAAAGAAACCTAAAACTACTCCCCGTTTGACTCTATCACTGTGTCCTGAATAAAAATGAATGTAATCTTCTTTGTTCGTTGGTTTTCTGTAAACTTTGAATTTTAGGCAGTCTCCTGTCCTTTCTATTTCAGTGTCTAAGAAGGGGATTCTACCTTGCTTTTCATGTTCAATAGTAAATTGGATCTTTGGATCTAGACTAGATGAGCTTAACGCAGTAGATCCAAAGATCCAATTTACTATTGAACATGAAAAGCAAGGTAGAATCCCCTTCTTAGACACTGAAATAGAAAGGACAGGAGACTGCCTAAAATTCAAAGTTTACAGAAAACCAACGAACAAAGAAGATTACATTCATTTTTATTCAGGACACAGTGATAGAGTCAAACGGGGAGTAGTTTTAGGTTTCTTTCTTAGGGCCTATCGCATATGTAGCGAAGAGTATCTGGAGCAGGAAATCCAACATGTCTTAGATTCTTTTATTAGACTGAAGTTCCCTAAGGGCCTTCTTTTAAATCTGAAAAGGAAGGCAATGGAGATCCGAAATAGAGCAGAGACCGAACGACAGCGAAAGAAAAACGAACGTTACATTACCATACCGAATTCGAAGCTAGCGAACGTAGTAGCCAAGCGAATCGAGACGACGGGCGCGCGCACAGCTGTGACATCTGGTCGAAAAATAGGTGAGATGATACGAAAGAAAGAAAAGAAAGACAAGTCAGATAAGAGTGTAGTATATAGGGTACCGTGCGGGATTTGTGAAAAGGCATACATAGGAGAAACAGGCAGGGGAGCAAAAACTAGACTGAAAGAGCACAAACGAGATTTTCGTAACTTTATGGAACATAGCGCTTTTGTGGCTCATGCGAACAAAACGGGACATTTACCGAACTGGGAGGGGACAGAAATTATAGCTTCATGCTCTTCAAAAGCGATTAGAAAAGCAACCGAAGCAGCGTACATCGCAACTAACGAAACGATCAACACGAACGGTGGGTTTATAAAATGGGCGAAATCTGCAGCACAATTGAGCATCATTGATCTAGATAAAAATTAAAAATGAGAGAGAGAGAGAGAGAGAGAGAGAGAGAGAGAGAGAGAGAGAGAGAGAGAGAGAGTGAGAGAGAAACATATTATATGCACCGTCAATTGATTTAATACTATTTAGCTATTGTAATATGTTCCGAATAGATTGTTACATGTTCACGAAAATATGTATGATTTCGTTTTATTTAGGAGGTACCCGACTACTCTGACCTTGTTCTCAGAAATACGTGCTATTTATTTCAAACGATTGATGTGCTCGTTTTCTTGTTCCTTGTTTCATACAACGGCGCTGAAGAAGTCTAATAGACGAAACCGGTACGCCTTTAATGTAACTGTTTTAATTGTTTGATTCGTCGAGCCTGGAGGTTCATGTACGCTCGATGCAGCCCTAAAACTGTCACCTGCATTAAACCGCATCCGCTTTTAAACATCGCATTTCTCGAAACTCTACCGTCTGCAAGTCATGTGGAATAACTTCCGCTGTTTGACGAATTTCTAGACCTATACAATAGGTACAGTCCACAGCAGAAGTAATGTGCGGTTTCAGTCATGGGTATGTTCTGCTTCTAAAGCTTAAATAGGACCGATTAGCCAGACTACAATGAAACTTCAAATGTAGTTTACATGTATCCGAAGGTTGGGACTTTTCACTATTCTTAAGAATTGTGATTTTCTATTGAACATCCCAACTTGAGCTTATCGCCACCATTGCAGCTGCAGTTTCATCTACTGACGTCTTCTTTTCGATCACTCCGCATTAAAAAATCGCCAGTTAAAGCCATTCGTTGAGATTGGTAAAGCCGCACATGACTGTAGCGGTGGGCTGTACATTATGCACACAACGAGGACTTTAGCCACGGGGAGCGCTTACTAAGCGTGCAATCTGCAATATGCCCTTACAGTAGGAACATTCGAGAACGGCTCGAGGGTCGCAGACGGTGATTATGGGCCTTGATTTGTCGAACAATTCCAGTCCTAGAGTGCTTTTTTAATTTATTGTCACGTAATTCAAGGCCCTAAAGCTACCGTAAATTAGGTGCCAACAAGAAAATTTGCAAAAGTCAGTCAGCATGATGACCGGCGTCTTCGTACATTTTCTATCAATGTCGCCACCGCGACTGTCGCGTACGCCACGGTCGCCAGGGCACCATCAGCCACCGGTATCGGTATCGGCTTAGGGGCGCTGGTGTTCCCTTAGGTGCGGTACTGTTTGTCTGCGGAGGCTGTACCGCAACACAAAGCGTCGCATTCAGAGCGTGACTTTGCCGCATGTATTGTCACTAATGGGGCATTCCACGTCAAGTGGGACAAAAAATGACGATTTTGAACCTCACCTCCTCCGATTTTTGCGAAACTTTGTGAACCTACTCATCTATATGTGAAAAGAAAGGAGACATTTTTTTGCCAAGATATGACGTCACGTTTCCGAGATACACGTCATCAAACATTGACTTCGGCAAGGCACATTATCATCTTTAAAGCGTCATAACTTTTAACCCGCGCGGGGCTGGGGTCTCCAGCCGAACGCGCGGGGCTGGGGGGGGGGGGTAAATTTTACCCCCCCCCCCCTGTTATCTCCCGAACTAATGGTCCGATTTGGAAAATTCAAACGCCAATCGAAAGCTCTCATCACGAACTACTAAAAACATGTACTTAATTTAAAGTTTGAGGTCAAGGTCAAGGTCAGGTCAAGGGTACAAATTGCAAGTTTCTACAGTATCGGCCTTGCACCGTAGTTGCCGAAGAATGGAGTCATGGACTGAGACTGATCGCCCAAAACGTGTTCTTAGGCTACCAAGACAATATTAGTTGCATACAATATCATTCAGAGGTCAAGGTCAAGGTCAGGTCAGGTCAGGTCAGGTCACCAAAAAACAAAATATAGAAAAGGGCATGTGCGACACATGTTTTATGGGTCATTTTACTCATAGAATTCAATAGGCACACTCAATAAGTGATATGGACCACCTCTGGATGAATTTCAGGTCGAGGTCAGGTCAAGGTCAGGTCAAGTGAGGTCAAATTTTGAAGTTGGTTGTTAAGGCCTAAAAAGGTGTCTATCTGATGCAGTTTTTCACGGCGAATCGAATGGTGCTATTTTTGTTTCCGTACGAGGTCTAGAACTTCCAAAAAAGTCATTTTTCAAAAAAATTGTGTGTCGTGACGTCATAAAATTTTGAATAACTCCCACATTTTTGAACCGATTCTTCTAAAATTTGGTATGTAGGTGCACATAGACCACTTCTCTGACATATATTCCGGTTTTTTCGATAGACTCAAAATTTTGGATTTTATAATGATTTTCCCAAAAAAATCAGTTTTTTGAAAAAATTTAGGCCAAAATCCAAAATTTTCAAAAAACCGAGATAGCCATTTGATAGACAAAGTAAAATTACGTATAACCTTTTTTGTTACGTCTTGATTCCTTTAAAAATGAAGATGTTAGCGGCGTTTGAACTTTTGCCGTTTTTGAGGCGAAAATGGCGAACATGACGTCACTAAAACGTCAATTTCTCAAAAATTTTCCGACGGATTTCGCTCAAATTTTCAGGGAAGGTGTCAAATTGATGTAAGAAAAGGTACTGAAAGTTTGGCGGCGCTGCGCGCCGCCGTTTTTGAGATATCGCAAAAATTCGCGAGGGGGGGTAAAATTTACCCCCCCCCCAGCCCCGCGCGGGTTAAAGTTTTAGACATATCACC